TAGGAGAAATGAATTTTTCCCAAATCAAATTAGTAATTTTTTCAGGGTAGTGGGCCTAATTTTCTCAATAAATAAATATAAAGAGCCCATTTAAGACCATTTAAGACCAGTTATCGCTATATAAAGAGCCCATTTAAGGCCAGGAACTTGATGACATATCGAGCCCATTTTTTTTTCTGGGCCTAAACTTCCCCATTACTTCAAAATGGGAACGTTCAGCAATATTTCAACCCCGGGTTTGACTATTCGTAAACGTCACAATGATAACATGTAGAGTTTTTAAAGCTATTTTAAGGAATTTCAATTTTTATAGAAAGTTGAAATCTGTATTTACTATTTACTGAAACTTTTAAGTTTTAAAATATATCTACAGATTTTCAGATTTGAGTATTGTTTACGTACGTTTAGAGTAGTCGATCCTCATCTCAAAAAAAATGAAGAGTATTCATTCGTGTTGATGCATATCACTTCCTTCATCGAGTAGGCTAAAAGATGAGAAATTTTAAGATATATGCAGATCAATGTAAAAAATCGACAATTATCCTTTTTTTTTTTTTTTATTATGAAAGAAAAGAAAAGAAACAGAAATCGTACACACACAAGAAGCATTTAATAATCCCATAAAACAAAATTTAACAAATAAATAAATAAATAAAATAAGAGCCAAAGTCTACTCTTTATCCCATCTCACACTCATTAAAAAACAATCATTTTCATTAATTAGCGGCGCAGCCATGATTAATTGAACTTTAAGCAAATTGCATAGGGATTATAACAAGTCTTTGAATGTATGTTCATTTGAATCAAACCGAAAGGTTACCTTTTGATGCTTAATTTATGTTAGGCAGTCATATACTACTTTTCAAGATGCCCTTAATTAATTCATTACCATTTGTGGGTCCTACAACTGTTAGCTCGCTTTCTTAACATTTAAAAAATAACAACGAAAGACGTGTTTGAACATAAACACATTACCTGTCTTTGGCAAATTAAATTGCATGACAATGTCAATTTGTACATTACACTTTGATTTCCTTCCATTTATGTGATGGGTCAAAAACGCTATGAAGATAAATTAATTACATCGAGTTGTCCAGACACGAGAAAATCTATTAAGACCCTGTCTATCGTGCATTATTCTCCT